CACACACACACACACACACACACACACACACAAACACACACACACACACACACACACACACACACACACACACACACACACACACACACACACCCACACACACACACACACACACACACACACACACACACACACACACACACACACACACACACACACACACACACAGTCTTTGCTCATGCTTTCAGATCATTATTACTTTACTTGTTTCAAAGTCTCTAAGTTTCACTGGTAATAATAACATGGTAAATAAAAGGTTGTATTATATAATTCTTAGTATCTTGTTTACCTGCTGGTTCTGGTAGATGTACTTCTCTGACACACAAATAAACATATCTCAGCCACTTAATGAGGAGAGAAAATACTTAATCCTTCACAGTGGGCAACTGGGCACTTCACACCAGCTAACTCTGGCACTGTGACAACACACACTGAGTGTGTGTGTGAGTGATATACAGAGTGCTGCGATAGCCAAAACACTGCCAAGAGTTTATCTGTATTTGTTTTCAGTGTGTGACTGAGACGACAGGTAAAGCCTGAGGAGTCATCTGCTTTCAGACAGAAAGTAGAGGAATATGTTTAATGAGCAGCCTTATATGCAAATTTATTTGGACATCTGGGATTTCACAAGAAGTATTAGGTTAGTGTAAAACTGATCAACTAATTATGTTTGCTGTGTGTCAACAGGAAATTACACAAAATCTGGCAAAGATGGCAACATTACACAGGCTTTCATAAATACATGGTCTCTCCTCTCTACCTTGTATGGGCAGGGGATGTGATAGCGCCTGCAGTTCTCCTCCATCCATGTATTCTCCCAAATGTTTCGGTAGGTGTGTTCATACAGGTAGCACCCAATCACAGTCAACAGGGGCACAAGGTAGAGCACTGAGAACACTCCCATTCGGATCATAAACTTGACTAGTTTGGTCTGGTTTTCCTTCTCCAGAGGGATTTCCATGCGCACCCGATTCAGAGCCACAATGCCCACTAACAGGAGAGACACGCCCACCTGAAGAGAGAGAGAAACGACAAGATAAGACTGTGACAGACACAAATAAAATATATCATTTGTTTTCAAGAGACCATCCACCAATCCATTTTCTAATCTATCCATCTTGCCAAAAAAAACAACAATCTGTACTTGTTTTCATCCAACCAACCATTCATTTATTCATCATATCTTCCCACTCATCACTTCTTTCATCCACCCACTCACTCATTCATCTTCTGACTGTACTCACCGCCACATTGAGGCAGAGCGGTGCCAGAACAAACCACCGCAGGGCATCTATATCATAGAGGCCTATGAAACACACTCCACTGATCCCATCTCCTTCAATTTTGTTCAGGGCCAACAAGGTGACAGTCAGGGCCCCTGGGAGCCCCCAGGCGATAGCATGGAAGAGGAGGGCTTTCTTTTCAATGGCCTCGCTACCCCATTTAGGCACAGCGGCCAGGAACCAAGTGATCGTCAGTATGACCCACCACAAGCTGCCAGCCATGGTGAAGAAATACAGGACCATGAAGAACAGTGTGCACGCCTGAGAGAGGAGGGGGAGCAGTAACTTTGGATCAGTCATTAAATTCATGTTTGACAGCTGAAGAGGAGAGCATCTGTTTACTTGTCAAGTACATCACGTATTAAATTATGATCAAGATATATGGACAGAGAGAGAAATCCAGATTATTATTTTTTATCTCTACAAATGATCAAAAGTAATTATCAAAAGTATAGTATAACTAATGTTATTATCAAAATAATAACGTTCAGGGAAATGATTTAAAGAACATCTTCCACGTGACAGGATTCTTACAAACCAAAATCATTCACATGAAATTCGTGTGAAGTGAAGCTCCCACCTTGTTGTGTGAACCCTGTGTTATGGTTGAAGCTCTAAACTGAGAGGGGACGACTGCATTGCAGGCAACTCTGTCTTCCAGCAGGAAACCAAGGAAAAACACCAGCGACACCATGACATAACACACAGCGTAAAAGATTATTGGACGCTCAGGGTATCGAAACCTAATGAGAAAAAAAGAAAATGCAGATTAATTATCTTATCAAAAACTGTTCAGAAATGTTTGCAGCATCCATGAAAATTATAGAGAATTAAATCAAGTATTCTCATAAATCATGCTCAGTAAGTTGATATCAGATTTTAGCCATTCAAACCTGGTAACATCAATGAGAAATGTCAGAAAGGTGAAGAGCGTTGCGGACAGACAGACAATGGAGATGACTCCTATGAAGTATCGGGTAAAGGTCAGCTCCTGCTGGTTGAAGAACATCGAGGGACATGGGGCAGAACAGTCCTTCTTGCCCATGAAAGAGTATCCCAGGTCAGGGTCAACTTTGAGCTCTCTGGGGCACCAGAAACCGTAGTCTCTCTGCACAGTCATGGATGACTGGTCAGTGGGCTCAGAACCTGTTAGCAGGTCCTCTGCTCGAGGATAGGGCTCGTCACAATCAGGGAACCTGGAAAAAGAAAAATGATGTTGGATCTTGCAGTTTAATCTGATGTAAATTTTGCTCAGACTCTCGTTGATACGTTATATGCAATGGCTAAGACAATACATCCGCAGCAGCAAAGAGTACAGCCTCTAAAATTACCTAAACTGATTTCAAATAAAATACACACCTGCTACACTCCATGTCGTCTGGCCAGGATACTCCAAATATCTCCATTAGTTTGTGGCACTCGTCTTTGGCGCGCTGGCAGAGAGATTGACATGGCATGGACACCCGGCCGTACACCGTGCACACCGGGGCGTACAGGGCACACAGGAACATCCTCAGGTCAGCACTGCACACTAGGTTCACCATGGGATGAAAAGGCTACAGATGGAGGGAAAGAAAAAGACTTTAAGAATCTATTTGTTTAAACCTGCTACCAAACTGGAAGTCATGGCTACAGATGGCTACATGGTCTCCTGACTCCCTAGCAAACACGTACACATTTCATCTTTCCAATGTTACATTTTAATATCAGATTGAACCATCATGATAAAGTTATTTTTAAATATGTTGTGTATGTGAGTAAGCATGATGTTACCAGAGATACAAAAAAAAATACACACAGGCTCGGGAAAAGGTTGGCACATATTCAACTTGAAATAGTCATCAGTGAGAGGACAAGTTAGTTCTACTCTGCTGAAAATCCTACTGCTCAGTGTTCCATCGATTAAAAAGCTCATTAAATATGTATCACAGCAATCATGTTACAAAACATCCTTTGGAAGTCTGGGGGAGTAAAACAAACCTCTGAAGGCTCAGCCCCAGTCATGTGTCAATACAGTGAATAAACAAACGACACAGAAATCCACACAGCACAGATGATAGATTCTGTTCCCTGGAGTACGGTTCTAAAGGTTAGAGACTGGCTGCCTGTGACCTTCAGGCTGTTGGTTCTAATCCACACAAGGACTGGAAGATATTGATGGAGAGTTCAAAACGCCTCTTGAGCTCTTCCTTTACATATCTATATTTTGGTCATTTACAGGTTCATCATTTTTGTTTTGGGGTCTACTAAAAAAAGTTTACATGGTGTAAAGTTCAAAATACACATGTCTCAGACTGTACGTTGCCTCTGCGCCTCTTTTCACCCTCCGTCTGAAACACTGTCCTAGCTCTGGGCCCGCCTCCCAAAAAGCCCAGTCTGCTCTGATTGGTCAGTTGACCTACTCTTTTATGACAGGTCAGCCTCTTAGAGCATGTGTTGGAAATGTCACGCTGTTTACCCAGAGGCTTCCTAAACACTGCTGCAGCCACAGTAACAATGGTATTGCTCAGCCGTGAAATCAACCGTAAGGCATAATATGGGCACTTTAACAATGAGAGTCCGACCGATTTATCGGTTTGCTGATAAAAATCTGTATTAGCGTGTGTGCCAATATGAAAAAATTATTTTACAGGATACACAATGCAGGAAAGATGTGCATTTATGTTGACATTTTACACAATAACCTTTGTTTTTTCTCAATTTCAGTCCTGCATATTTGGTTGTATTTGTATTTTTCTTTAACTTATTTATAATAAAGATAAACTGTAAAATATCAAGCCTTAATCACCTCAAATATTTTTTTTCATAAAGGTTTGATAAAAAAATCTTATGAATCATTGCAATTATTTAAATATAATCTGCCGATATATTGGTATCAGGAATTTACTGCAAAAAAACCCCAGCAATGATTTGTCAAAATCAAATTAGGTCTTGTCTGCTGAAAATGCACAACAGAACATTTTTAAATAAGCAGCGGTTTTTAAACAAGCACAAAAAATTTAAATGATGTGAGTAGCTTGTGTTTCTCTCCATGTCTAAACATTTCTGGGTAAACTTAAGTCAAAAACTGTTTTGTTGGCCTCAGTGTCAAAACAGAACTGCTACTGGATGTTTGAATGAGGCAGCAGAACAAAGACAGTGTCTTAGTTTGCCCGTTAAACAGATTTTTGTAAAGAAATGTTTGTATAATTTTGTGCTTTTGTGCAACACACACCTAATGCTGCATATTTGACATATTTTTCTGATACGCACACACATTAGCAACTGCCAGTAACATCATGTCCACAGGACGCTGTTTGGGTGTGTGCAAAGTGACCTGCATCTATTTGACTCTTTATAAAGTTGATATTATCTGGCCACACCGATGATGACTTTTCAGTGCAGCTTAACGGAAATCAGAGCAGAGCCATGAAAGCAATGAATAGAGAGCAACGGAACAAAACGCTTGGGCTGGCTGCACACATCACGGCACTTTGTGTGTGTATGAAACATGTGTTCATGTAACACAAAACAGTGCACTTACATTGATTGCTTTCTACAAAAGCTATAGTATATGCCTACAGACTGTGTGAGGGCATTTGTGCATCGATGAATATGTGTTCAGACTCAGACCTTGTGAGTATGTTTTGATCATTCTCAATTGCTGTGTTCTAGATCTGCACATTGCAGAGATGTTCCACCAGTAAATGGGTGCAGTGGTGCAGGAGCTGTGTGACATAGTTTTGAACGTTGCAGGGAAACAAACGCACACACCACTCCACTCCATTCAATAATTCACACATTTTACATTTTTTCCCCTTTTGCATTAACATGCAGGCTTCGCTGTGTTGGGACACAGAGAGATAGGAATCACATGAGCTTTGAATGGAGGCCAAACCTCATCACATACACACATCATACACTTGAGTAGATAAACAATTAAATATGTGTATATGTTTGTTTACAGTGCAGATATGGTGACAAAGTGGTGCGGCTTCATTGACAACTTTCTATAAGATGCTTTAGTCGTCAGCTGTACGATGGAGTCATATTTAAACATCCTGATATGTGAGGAGGTCCTGAGCTAAGGCTTAGATACACTGCTTAACAGTCTTTTATATTTATACCTAAAACTATGAAATGTGTTGAGAATTTCACTAAGCATCATGCTACTGCATGAGTGTTGACTTGGTGTATACTATGTATAATGTTTTCATGACTGAATGAAAAGATACTCTAAACTACTGTACTCTAAAGAATGAACAATAGCCAATCCAATTCTTGAATACAGCAAACCTTTGCCTTGCTGCAATCAGCTACCATTCTATTTTCTGATGAAGCCTCCTCAGTGCCAGCTCTTATTCTGATATGCTGCCCACACTAATGGTAGCTCTACAGTCTCAGTTTTGTTGTCTTTTTGTTTCTACATGTATGTGACAGAGACATGTCAGATGACCTGAGGCCACACTTAACCGAGTCCTATTTGCTTTCTGCATGAGTGTGTGTCACTGCCAAGCAGCATGGAGCTTCTCCTGATACTTACTCTGAAGTGACTGTGTGTGTGTGTGTGTGTGTGTGTGTGTGTGTGTGACTCCTGTGTGCCCTCATTCTACCCAGTTCACCAGTGCATGTGAGGTTATGTGTGCACACATCATTGTTGTTGTATTCTGTGTGAGTATGTCCCAGTTTAAGTGTGTGTGTGTGTGTGTGTGTGTGTGTGTGTGTGTGTGTGTGCAAGTCAATGCCTGTGTGCAGATATCTGTGTGCAATTATTCTGACAGTCACGGCAATTGCCCCCCATCTCGTCCCACAAAGAGAATATTGATATTAAGTGGCCTAACTGTGCCACCAAAAGAGAGAGGAGGGGAGTGGCAATCAGCATTCCATGCAGGGCGACAGGGTGAATGTCTGGCATTTTGTAGTCAGTTGTGATGGACGGTCAGCGAACGGAAAGCAGGGGAGCCTGCAAACCAGGCCTGAGGGTGAAGACATATGTGGAGGTAGAAGGATGGGGAGCAGAGGAAATGTAGTGCATCAGCTTCCTGCAAATGATATCTCCAACAGTAATTGTTTCTCTTTCCTTCCTTCAGTGTGTGGTGGACTGAATCAGTTTACTAACATAGAAGAAAATTTGATTCCAGTCATAAAGAACTGCAGGGATGATGCATTTTGAAAACCAGCCCAGAAGTTAGCATCACCCTGGTTCCCTGTACTATTGTAATTTTTTGCCCAATTTATGTGCCAGATGCTATCAACATATACTCAGCTTCAACAAATGTTATATAGCAACAAGATGCAGATATAAAATCCAGTTGAGTCCTATTATACAGCTTTTATTCAGTATGCACTGTAGCTGTGGTGACAAAAGTTCATAGCCTCTGACCAGAGACTTGGTTCTTCAACAGCACAAATCCTTTTTGCTGTTGTCGACACTGCTGCCTTTAAGCACAACCCACAGTGGTAGACAGCACTTACTCTAATGAACTAAAACTCAGACAAACATTACATTATTGAAAAGAAATGAATTCGACAGCGAGTTAAAAAAAAAAAAAAAAAATACTGGAACTAAACCTGTCATTCAAAAATCTAAAGTTATCAAGAGGTCATGATGCAGACCCTATGTTACCGAAATGCTCTCCATCGTGCAGGGCTCCAAATCTCCCCCACATTGGTTTAAAAATAATGGTGGTGGGTTGACCCTAGTCATTCATCTTGGCACCATTTGAGACAAACATTTCAACATTCACATATTCAGCTTTCCTAAGAAAACATTAGTGCAGTTTAAGTGCTGTTAAATCAACTGCGATGCCAGGAAAGATTATCTATAGAATGAGGCCATTCTAATAATATAACAGGAGAGTGCTTCCCTATTATTACCAAGTCATGTTCTCTGAATCAAACTTGATAATAACTATTATTTAAACCTATAAGTAAAAATATTTAGAAGAAAAAGTGTGTTTTAATAATAATGGACAGCCAGAGACTGACAGGAGCACCCTCTCCTCCCTGCTGTCTTTATAGCTACAATCAAACAAGAGCCATCCCATTAGCTACTCAGCAAAATATCAGATTGCCTAAAAGACAGATAAATGCCCTGATAAGACTGAACCACCGAAACATCAGCAGGTTAACAATCAGAATAAGATGGAAATCAAGTGAAAGGTTTATTGGAGTTAGAGAGTTTGCTTCGGACAGATGATTCAGCATAAGGAGCACGGTGGGGTTTTTGACACAGAGGAAAATAAGAAAAAAAGCCCCTGACTGGTCCACCTCTTGTTCAATGGAGGGATTAAGTTTCTTTCTCTTTACTCCTTCTCTCCAAAGAAACCCAGCAGCGGGAGAGAGAAGGGGAAAAAATTAGGTAGAAAAAAAAATCCACAAAGAAAAACAGAACGAAAGAAAGCAGCACAAGATTAACAGTCACGTAATGCAAGCAATTATACTTTTGGCAGACAAGTGGTATGATGCCAATAACTACTATACAGTTGGTAGCAAGGAGAGAGCAGTGCACGCAACAGGAAAAGTACAGGGGTGTTGTGTGTGAGAACTAGTTTGTAAAGCTTTTCTGCTGTGTTCT